ACTCGGTCTCATTATCCCTTACAAATGCATGTTCCTTCTAAACCATTTGCCATTATCCACAGTGATGTGTGGGGACCTGCAACTGTTAAAAGCCTTACGGGTGCTCGTTGGTTTGTCACATTTATTGATGATCATACTCGAATGACATGGGTGTACCTATTAGCCAATAAATCTGAAGTCACATCCACCTTTAAAGTCTTTCACAAAATGATCCTTGCCCAATTTCAAACCCAAATCCTTACCCTTAGATCTGACAATGCACGTGATTATTTTAACTTGGACCTTTCAGCTTACCTAAAAGACCATGGCATCATCCACCAGAGCTCTTGTGTCAATACCCCACAACAAAATGGTGTATCTGAGAGAAAAAATCGCCATTTACTTGAAGTACTCTTTGCCTCAAATACATCCAAAAATTATTGGGGGAAGCTATTCTTACAGCCACTTACCTTATCAACCGCATGCCATCTCGGGTATTACACTTCTCCTCACCTTACCAAACACTCCTCACTGCATTCCCTTCATTGACCTTAACCCCAAATCTCCCACCAAAAATTTTTGGTTGCACCGTGTTCATTCATAACTCTCAAGGTGGTAAATTGGATCCTCGGGCTCTTAAGGGCATCTTTCTTGGCTATTCCCCTACTCAGAAGGGGTATAAATGCTTCAGTCCAGCCACACATCGATTCTACATTACTAAAGATGTCACCTTTTTTGAACATCAGCCTTATTTTTCCCAAACCGCCATTCAGGGGGAGATCCCTAATTCCAAGGAATGGTTGTTTGTGACTAATACTCCAGAAAACTCTGCTTCAACAGCCCCTACACCGGTCTTAGGTGAATCTCAGGAAAATGACACTTCATCTAATGGCTTATCCTCTTCCGGCCCGCTCCAGAAACCGCCTGAACAGCAGCCCCTGCAAGTCTACACGCGACGGCCCAAATACAGAACAGCTTCTGAGATGCTTGAACATGTTGACAAACAGATTACCTTGGCTCCTGGTCCAACTGAAGAAACCATTAGTCCTGCACTTGACCAAACTGAATCCTTGCTGCCAAGTTCTGATGATGCTCTGCACATGCCAATTGCACTTCGTAAGGGGGTAAGGACATGTACAAGTCATTCCATCTGTAATTTTATATCCTATGCTAATCTTTCCTCCAGGATGCAGCATCTAGTCAAGAACATTGACAAGGAAACCATTCCTACATCCTACTTTGAGGCATCTAAGACTACTGAATGGTGTTCTGCTATCCAGGATGAATTGCATGCACTCAAAAAAAATGGCACTTGGGAGATAGTTACCTTACCACAAGGAAAATCAGTGGTTGGCTGTAAGTGGATTTTTACCATCAAATATAATGAAGATGGGAGTATTAATCGCCATAAAGCAAGACTTGTGGCCAAAGGATTCACTCAGACACAGGGCATTGATTACCAGGAAACCTTTGCTCCAGTAGCAAAATTTAATTCAATTAAAATTCTTTTGTCCATTGCTGCTTGCCTAGATTGGCCCCTTTGGCAAATGGATGTGAAGAATGCATTCTTAAATGGTGACTTAGAAGAAGAGGTTTACATGGAAATTCCCCAAGGAGTGGAAGATGGTCAAGGATCTCGAAAGGTATGTAGATTATTAAAATCCCTTTATGGTTTGAAGCAATCTCCAAGGGCTTGGTTTGATAAGTTTACTGCAGTTGTCAAAAATCAAGGGTACTCCCAATGTCAAACTGATCATACTATGTTTGTTAAAACTGCACCTCATCAGAAAATTACAATATTAATTGTCTATGTTGATGATATTGTGATTACTGGTAATTGGGAGGATGAGATAAAGCAATTAAAGGAGACGTTAGCTCACAAATTTGAGGTCAAGGACCTTGGAAAATTACGATATTTTCTTGGAATGGAAGTGGCAAGAACTAAGGAAGGAATTTCAGTTTCTCAAAGAAAATATACTCTTGATCTGCTGAATGAAACAGGGATGTTGGGATGTAAACCTTCTGATACACCAATGGAGGCGAACTACAAGATAGGACTCAAACAAGAATGTGCTTCGGTAGACACTGAGAGATATCAAAGACTAGTTGGAAAACTCATTTATTTAGCCCACACTAGGCCTGATATTAGTTTCCCTGTGAGTGTGGTCAGTCAATTTATGAACAGCCCAAATGAAGAGCACTTGGAAGCCGTCTACAGAATCCTACGATACTTAAAGATGACTCCTGGTAAAGGATTGTTCTTCAAGAAAAATTCCAGCCGTGATATTGTGATTTACACGGACGCTGATTGGGCAGGATCCATTATCGATCGAAGATCAACCACAGGCTATTGCTCATATGTGTGGGGAAATTTGGTCACTTGGAGGAGTAAAAAACAGTCTGTGGTAGCCAGAAGCAGTGCTGAAGCCGAATACAGGGCATTGTCCTTAGGCACTTGTGAGGGAATGTGGATTTTAAGAGTCCTAAAGGAGCTACACCTCGAATACAAGGATCCTATGAAGATTTTCTGTGATAACATGGCCACCATTGGAATTGTCAATAATCCAATCCATCATGACCGTACCAAGCATGTTGAACTTGATAGAAATTTCATCAAGGAAAAAATTGATGCAAATATTATTGATCTAAGTCACATTTCCACAGGGTCCCAGATTGCTGATATCTTAACCAAGTCTTTATCAAGAATTAAATTTGAAGGACTAATTTCCAAGCTGGGAATGCTGGACATCTACCACCCAACTTGAGGGGGAGTGTTGCAATCCCTAGTTTTCAGCATCTAGAATGTTTTATTTTTCCTCCTTAATCTTAGGAGTTTGTTTCGTTATTTGTTATTTAAATTCCTAGGATTAGTTTGTTTCTGATATTTTTCTTGTTTAGTTAAAATAGGATTCAGTTTTCTAGTTTTATCTCTTTCCCTGATTATAGGGATTTGTTGCACTGGAATATTTCTGGTGTCTATTTATTGTACGTTTTTTTTTTCTTTTAGTTTTAATGGAAAAACTGGTTCCATCATTCAAACTTTCTATAAGTAGTGTAGCTGACTAGCTACCCAAGCTTTTCAGCATTCCTGGTAGTTGAAGATCTGGGACTATCTACCCCCCCTGATTGCTTGCCTTTCTTGAAGAATGATTTGGTGGGAGTTAGTTTCCCGCGCCAGTGCTGTAGCTTATACTGTTGCTGTAATCTTCTTGTTGTATCTGTCTTATTTTCACTATGTTATCCAAAAAAAATGTTACAAAATAAAAGAACAGGAACAGTACAGGGCATAAAGGAAAACAGCACCAAACAGTATAATAAGAGAGTCAGCAGTAACGCATCGTAAGTACTCGAATACCCCCCCTGCAAACTAAGGTCTTTGGATCAGAGTAACATGATATAAATTAGGTGGAAGAACGATTGCAGAATACCTTCTTTGGGCCAAGTCCTTCGCTGATGGTCCAGTACTATCCTAGAATCTTATGAGAAAATGAGAGAAAGTGGAAGAGAGGAGAGGGGGAGAGAGAGAGAGAGAGAGAGAGAATGAACATTTTCTGAATCTATTATTATGTGTCCGTTAAAGATACAAAAGAAGACTGGATGCTATATCTTTTTAGACCTCAGCAACAGCTAGCTTGCTAAACAAGCTTATTGAAATCATGTTAGTTATGCTTACTCAGCATAGCTAACTAACTTACAATTAATTAGATACAATAAATTGACATAAATAAAAGAACAGGAACAGTACAAAACATAAAGGAACAGTATAATAAGAGAGTTAGAAGCAACGTATCTGAAGTAATCCAATACAGCCGATTCCACTAAAACGAGTAGGGGACTGTGATTTGGTTTGCAGCTCCTACTGAAAACCATAAAATTGTGTGGTCCTATGCATAAAATTGTGTGGTCTTATTGTTTTCATTATGCTTAAATTTTGTATTTGATCAATTTGAAAGGGAGTCGCCAAGTCGGTCTGTAGGAAAAGGCTACTCCAAAGGTGAACTTGTCTCTAATTGGGCCAGTAGGAGTGGATTTACCCTTAAATCATTTATTGGGTTAAAATCACGATGTATTTTAGTTTAAATTAATGGTGGATAACCCTTACTCACTTTAGAGACAAGCTCACTTTAAGGAGTCTTTTCCTAGTATGTGTACATATTTCCTACTAGTTGAATGCTTGTGTTTAGCTTGTAAGCTTCAGATTGAGCTAGATCCTTTTGTGTGTCCATATCATAATCTCTTTCAAATTCTGAGGTAATGTTGTGAGTATGGCTTTGTTAGTTTAATGATGTGTATAGCAAAGAAACCCAAGTTTCTGATATTTATGCTTTTAATAAACTTTTGTGTTCTATTTCTTTGACTTCGAAAAAAATATGGGTTTGTCACTTCTAATATTCCTTACATTTTGGGTAATACAATGGTCAGTTAAGTGTGATAAATGCAAGAGAATAACTGTTAGTTTGCATTGGTTATTGTTTTTTTTGCAAATGGCTCGGTAATGCATGCAATATCTTGCTTTCTTCTAGGACTTGGTTCAAAGTGACAGGGATGATCCTAGCCTACCTCTGGTTACTGCTCCTTTCGGGCATGCTTCCCAGGTATATACTCATTGATAATTGAAAAATGCTGCTATCCTTTTAACTTCTGCTCATTTTATATTCTCTGCTACATGTTTGACATTTTGCTTTTTCGTTGAATATTGTGTTGCAGGAAATTGTAAACTTACTGCTCTGTGGGCAGGCTGTCCCTAATGTGTTTGATGGGAGGATGGATTTAGGAGGGGGAATGTTTCTGAAAGGTATATCCCAATATGTGGAAGTTGGATTTCTCACGCTGCTAGAATCCCTGAATTTCTGCAAGGTTGGTCAGTATTTGAAACGCCCAAATTGGCCTATATGGGTTGTTGGCAGTGAATCCCATTACACAGTACTGTTTGCTCTTGATACCAGTGTTCAAAATGAAAATGAACTGGAAGAAAGGGAATCACAGATTCGGAAAGCTTTTGATGCCCAAGATCAGAGCGGAGGTGGTGGTTTCATTAGTGTGGAAGGGTTCCATCAAGTTCTCAGAGAAACAAATATCAAACTTCCACAAGAGAAGCTTGAACACCTTTGCAGTACAGGCTTCATTGTATGGAGTGAGTTCTGGCAAGTCATTTTGGATCTAGACAAGAGCTCGGGAGGTTTGAAGGATTCATCGGGATTGATGGGTAAGAAGGTCTTTGATCTGTACCATTTCAATGGGATTGCTAAATCAGACCTGAATGGTAGTCAAGTAAATTCTAGGGGTGAAACTCCACTACAAAGACCCAGGCTCACAAAATTGAGAGTTTCAGTTCCCCCAAGGTGGACACCTGAGGAATTTATGGCAGATGTGACAGTTTCCACTGCTTCTAGTGCAAATGAATCTACTGGAAAGGATGCCGAAGTTTCTAAACCTGAGCCTTCTCAGCATGCACCTTTGGTAGACTGTGTAAGGACACGATGGCCCCGTGCTGTCTGCAGCTGGTCAGGGGATCCTCCTAGTATAGTCTGAGAGATTTACGGTGAGTCGTTTGTTGTAGAATTTGTGGATGTAACAGGTAAAGAACAATTGGTTCAGCAATGCCAAAAGAAAGAAGAGTTGAAGTTTTCAAGTTTTACTTTGATGTTGTACTTCAGGGCACATGTATGGGGGTCATGAATCCAAATTTTCTCCAATATGTGCAGAGCCGTTTTATAATGTGAAGGAATGGATCTTGTAACATTCTCTTCGATTTTGTCATGTCATTCAAAAGGTTACAAGGAAGAGCGATGTTATACTTGTTGTCAAGCCAACTTGTAAAATCTATTTAAATGTGCTATTGTCATCGATTAGAAAGATTTTAGTTACTGGTGGGTTATTAATAAGTGTCTGTTGCTTTTGAGATTGTATTGTGATCGGGTTCTGAATATGGAAAATTGAATATTTGTAATAATATTATCACACCTTTTGCTGTGGCACATTGTCTCTCTTTTTACTGATGTTCCTGCATCCTTGTTTTATCAGTGCTAATGACAAACAAACATCATAGAACAGGGTCTGCATGATTGTTAAAAAAAAAAAGAAAAAAAGAAAAAATGGTAGCACATTTATGCAGAATTGTTAATATTTTCCATGTCTTGCCGTTGCTTTATCTGTTTCCCGTGGTTTATTCTACTTGTCATGCATGGCGCAATTATGCTTTGCTGCCAGTGCGCCACTCAGTTATTTTCTGGTAACAGGATGATCATCTGAATAAGGATAGCCAAGTCCTAGGTGAAATTTCTGCGATAAGATTCTCTGATATGGAGGTTAGATTGCTCTTCTAGGGATTATTAAACTTTCATAAATACAAAATAAATTGATTTTTTTTCCCTTCCCTAAAGGCACATTTTGAAACCAACGGACAATGCAAAGAAATTGTCCAAGTGTTAGTGTTGTGCGTTGAAAAAGACAAAGTTGCATTCTACATATGGGAAAACTAGTCTATGTTATAGGTGACTAGTATTTCATATTATAGACTCAAAGGATACGAGGCTTATTTATTTATTTATTTATTTTAAAAGAGTGGGCTACATATATTTTATGTCTATAACATGATATACTAGTTTCTTACAACATGAGATTAGTATTTCCTTTCTACATGTTAGCCAGAAGGTGTAGTGATATGATATGTCTTTTGATTTAAGGGAGTGACAAGGGAGATAGAAGGTGTAGTGATATGATATGTCTTTTGATTTAAGGGAGTGACAAGGGAGATAAAAGTTGAAGGAGAAAGAATGAGACATTAATATTACTGTTATCCTAAGTTAGTTGAGTTCGATCCGTTTATGAATTGAAATAAAAAATAAGACAAGATTGAAGAATAAATAAATAAATAAATAAATAAATAAATAAATATCTAGAACATAAATATAGGAAAGTAAGATTAAAATGGATGATCTAGAACATAAGAAAAGTTTACCTCTTCACTATATATTGTTGTGTCTCGGAGCCCGACTCTCTTTAGCCTAGTCTTGTGATTGTGTCTTTAGGCCGGCTTGCGGAAGCGTTAGTGAACATTAAATTGAAAAACAAACAATTAGAGACAAGGAGAACAGAGAACACCAAAATTTTTAACATAGAAAACCTTTTCGATGTGAAGAGTAAAAACAAAGATTTATAAAACTTTCACTATGAATAATGAGATTTACAAAAGATTCTCTCTAGCTCACTAACCAGAGGACTTCACCCTCTAAAGGATGGATCTACACACAAGTGTTTCTGTATGTAAAGGGGATGAGAATCTTACTCTACAGACTATTCTTTTATTTTCTTTTTTCCAGCAATGGCATTGGTTTTCTTTCTCAGAGATCTTCGTCTGACTTGTGCTTTTTCCTGCGCGTTTCTCTTCATGTTTTTTTTTTCTTTTTTCTCTCTTTGCGTACTTTGATGGCTTAACATCTAAATATCTCTTATAAATAAGAGATCAGGGCAACCATTAATTTGAGCCAGGTCCATCACGAGCCACAGACCCAACATATATTGATAACTTTTATTCAATCTTTCACAAGACTTTGTCATTAGGACGATATCAAGTGCCATCTTAGATCTCGAGTCAATTTATAAATCCTACAAATATCATTTACTGTCATTCAAGGTATGTATAAGTTCAACTTCTGAGTTATTTCATAAACCCTACAAGTATTGGTTATTGTTAGTCAAGATACACATTAGGGGAACTAGACATCACTTGTATTTGACTACAATATAGAAACAATACTTCTGACAATTGATTGATGGTGCCTACTCATGTTAGATAAGAAAATCATTTAAAAGCTTGTTTGGTGTGATATTTAAGGTCTGATAGTATTAGTTTATACTATATGTTATGACATTTTTAGTTGTTTGGTGTGATCGTTGTATAGTATAATAAACTTATACAACAGAATCTCTTATTAATTAAAATGATATATAACTTAATCAGGCATAACCGGGTGAGATTATGTCTAATAAAGGGTTGATGTATTAGGTTCCCATTTTTCTCTTTTCCATTGTAACCCTTCCCTATTGAACGACAAACCCCAGCATTTTCCAAGCCTATTAACGAAGTAAACTTCTTCCCCATTTGGTTACCTAGGAAACGAAGGAAAATATCCTTCTATTAAGAAATACAAAAACAGAAAAAAAAAATATGACCTAAATTCAAAATCTTTTTTTTTTCACTAAATAATGAACAAAACCCAGAAAAATTAGAACTTTAAATAGAGGATCAATAAAAGTACACATAGGAACACTGATTTTCTCAAAAATCAAACAACAGTTCCGCATTAGAAGACAATCGCGGTGAGGTGATTTTGAGATTCTAAAGTTGAAAGAAACCTAGAAAAATAATTGAAAGAGTTCGGTTAAATATTTTCAAGAATATATATATATTTTTGTAAGATGATATATTATAAGGGTTTATGTTTTTTTATGTCACATAAGAAAACATATCTCCAACTATAGATACAATTTTCAATGTGGGATCCACTTGTAATTAACAAAGAAAAAAGAAAAAAGCTGTTTTGAAACTATTCATGTGTCTGTAGGAAAATTTGGTCTCTTATGTAACATAAGAAAATATAAACCCATATTATAATGGGTTTTATAAGAGTTATGTTGTTGGAAAAGTGATTGTGTAATGTTATAGAGATTCGTTTTGAGTGCCGTAATTTCTTTTTTTTTCTTTTTTCTTCAAAAAATGTGGACCTCACAAAATGTTGTGTGTGTAGGAAAGTTTGTTGTGTCATGTTAAATGTCAAATGCAAACCCCTATTATAATTAGTAATATTTAAATAAAGGAATAAAAAACTGCATATTGAATTTATAAAGTGTAAAGACAAAAATATAAAGTGTAAGAAGTTTGAAATAAAATAATTTTGTGGGATAGTAGTCATGAATTTTTTTTAAACATTGAAGATTTTTTATTTCTAACAAAATTAATATATTTTGGACATTCTGATCGATAGATTTTTATAAAAATTAATATCATAATATATATTATTAAAGGGTATATTTGTCAAAAATTATTTATTTTTATACTATCTAGTATTATACAATATATTATCAAATACTATATAGTATTATCTTATTTATATAATTAGGTCTTATATACTATCAATTTATGCCTTATCGTATTCTACACACCAAACATGTCCTAAGTATATTATAATACGATTTGGGCTTTTTACATGACTCACTTCCACTACATGATATTATTCTAAATAATTGTTAGATAGGTGCCTAACCACGTTAGATAAGCAAATCATTTAGTGTATTCTGGATTAGCAGTTTGGGCCCTTTACATCTTTCATAGTTCCTCTATAAGACAAAATGTCTGCACTGTTGGGTATGGTTCACTTATTGTATTTTATTTTTCTACGGATACACATGACAATCTCTTTTCCCTTATATTATTGTCAAATGGGTCCAAGAGAAGTTAGTGGCGGGAGACAACCACCAATAAACTAAGTTAGGTCAATTGCATCAAGTGGATTTGGTACCATTTCACATCTCAAAATCTTAAAACATTGGGTTGATTAGTCTTTTTATTTATATGCATTTCACTTTACCAATCAATGTGGGATCACACTTGAAAATCCAATATGCACCACAATATTCCCATAATTCTCCCGTACACTGCCATCCACTGCTCTCCCATGATTCACACTACCTCACTTGTAGTAACCATTCGTTTTATTAATTACATGCACCATACATCTTCTAGAATGTTCTCTACAAGTGCCTATGCGTATAGGAATCATGTCATTAGGTATGGATCTTCTCCCTTTTCTATTACACCATCTCTTATAAATAATGACTGAGCATAAGAGTTTTTGCAAGTGAACCACCACCTTTTGTTCCACTCAAAACATGGAGATCCAATCCTTCATGTACCCTAGACAATCACCAAAGAAAGAACGATTTCAAGTAACCACCCAATCTTTCTTTATTAGACTGAACAAAGTGTTTTGGAGAAAAAAAATTTTTATGCAATACAATTTAACGTGTATAACCTTAATTATAATATTAAACATATAGTCAAAGTAAGAGACATTAATATACCACGTAACTACCGATTCAATAGTATACAAGTAATGTATCAAAAAAAAAAAGGCAAAAAAATTAATTTATTGCTTTTTTAATAAAAAATTACGAATAAGTAGTCGTTTTGAAATTAATTATGAAAATATAGCAGTTAAACACGCCCCATAGGGACGTGACCGGTTGGAGAGAGACACGCCCAATGTTGGGCGTGACCGAGGAGAGAGACACGCCCAATGTTGGGCGTGTTTCACCAGGTGCTGCCACGTGGCACAAAAGTCAACAGTTTGACCGTAAAACTTTGGAAGTCTATAACTTTTGACTCGGGTATTCGAATTAGGTAATTTTTTTTTAAATCCACATAACTTTTCGAGATTTACGTAATGACACCTCATTTGGCATATTTTGTCTCTAAAAAAAAATTGAATTTACAATAATGATACCATAAGAACGTTTAAACAAAAATTAATGGACAGAAAACCACTGTTATGATTAGAAACATTCATAATAAAGATCCTTATGATTATGGTAAGTTATGATAAGGTTAATTATGTATGTTATTGAGATATATATTAAAATTTTGAATGAAGAATTTTATGAAATTTATAATTAATAAAAGTTAACATCTGTCGGTGACAGAATGTCGAATAATTTATATTAAAAAGTTAAGTGAGTGCTTTTCGTTTTATTTTGATTTTTAAGTTTTTGTTCATGATTATAAAAATGTTAGATTATTTTTAGTAATAATTATTTGGTAACAAAGTCATGTATGTCATTTTTAATAATTATGGTATCATTGTTGTAAATTCAAATTTTTTTGTGAGAGACAAAATAGGTCAAATTAGGTGTCATTACGTAGATCTCGAAAAGTTATGTGGAATCAAATTTTTTTTACCTAATTCGGATACCGAGTCAAAAGTTATGGACTTCCAAAGTTTTACGGTCAAATTATTGACTTTTGTGACACGTGGCAGCACCTGGTGAAACACGCCCAACATTGGACGTGTCTCTCTTCTCGGTCATGCCCAACATTGGGCGTGTCTCTCTCCTTGGTCACGCCCAATGTTGGGCGTGTCTCTCTCCAACTTGGTCACGCCCCATGTGGGCGTGAGTCACGCTTAGGTCACGCCCAACATTGGGCGTGTCTCTCTCCAACCGGTCACGCCCCTATGGGGTGTGTTTGACTGTTATATTTTCGTAATTAATTTTAAAAAGACTACTTATTCGTATTTTTTTATTAAAAAAGCAATAAATAAATTTTTTTGCACAAAAAAAAAAAATAGTATACAAGTAATTTTTCAAACTTAACGGTACTTGAGAATTGTTCTTCCAAAAAGTCAATTCAGAATTGCACAAGACCAAACGCTTCAACGAGTGAAAGCATTTCCTGTAAAGCGAATCCCATAAAAGTGGGATAAATAAGGCTATGAATTTTTTTTTTTTTTTTTGAGTTACCTAATCCTAATTATTTTTTTGAGGTGAGTTGGTTCCTTCTGGTATTTCCATAAACTTCGGCTCTATGCGGCTATAAGACTAATCCTAAATATGAAGCGGATGATAAAGATATTTAAACTCTTTTCAAAAGTTACAAACTCTTTCGATCTTATATAAGTAGAAACAAATATGACACATCAATGATATTATGCATTCGTAGTGTTTTTCATTTTCCTTCTTAACAGTAATGTCTATCTTTTCTTTATTATTATTTTTTTTTTTGTATGATGACTAAAATCATTTTCACGAAGGTTGAGTATAAAATTAGTTTCTATGCCAAATGGCTGAGTATAAAAGTTGGAAGTTTCAAATTTCGGGCAAATGAAATTTAGGAGATAGAATTAGGTTATTTGTCTATTGTAGCCTCCAATTAAATTAAAAGAAAAAACGTGTTTACTTAGGATTCCCAAGGGAGAGTACAAAAAAGGAATTGATCATTTGGTTTCTATCCTCTTCTTTTAAAAATAGAAAATGATTCTTTTATTGGAAAAAAGAAATAAAAACACAAATAACTTGCTAAAAAATTGGTGAACCTCCACCTCAATAATAGTGGATCCTTTTTAATAAATTTTTTGGCTCTTTCTTTGTTCTTTTAACTTGATATTGTTTTTGCCCTATCTTTGAGTGCAATTTTCTCTATCCAATAACACAACATAATTCAATTATGGTTATATCTCCACTCAGCTCATCAAATGAAAAACTCCAAATTTACAAAAAAAAAAAAAAAACTCCAAGCTTTATTAATTATCATACATAAATAGCACTGAATGTATTCAAATTACAAAAGGCTTTGAAACACCTTACCCTCTTCTTATGCAAATCACCAAAACAACTTTCTTATACTTATGTCTCATCTCATCATTTCTTATAAGAAGAAAAAAATGAGGGACTTGAGGAAGAGAAGGTAGAAACTACATGAGTTTAATGTTTTTGCTTTTGGAAAAAATTCTTTGCCTCACTTACATAAAAATGAGTGGATCCTGTTAATGTTTTCTTTCTTTTCTCTTTATAATAGAACCCACTTATTTTTATATGAATGTGGCAGGGAAATATTTTCTGCTAGAAAAATAAAAACATTTTCCCCAAAGTATATATAAGTTACCAAAAGAAAAATATTATATATAGATTAGCTGCATAAGTATCATGGCACTCATGCATAACACACTTTACAAAAGGAACTAACTAAAGTCCACTTGACCCAAGCAACTTGGTTAGCCCAAAAGTAATAGCCATAGCCACCAAACCCCCAAGCAAGACCCTTAAAGAAGACCTCAAAACTGGTGCCTTACCAAGCACTGCACCTAACCAACCAAAGACCACCAAAGCAAAGCTCACTGCAGCCACAACCACTCCAAGTCTCACCTTATATTCCCTTACAAAAGATGCTGCAAGCAATGGCACCATTGCACCAACAGAAAAGGCTAAAGCTGATGCTGCTGCTGCTTGTAAAGGGTTTGGCAAATTTTCATTCTCTTCAGCATCTTCTTGTTCTCTTCCTCTCCTTTCCTTATCTCTTTTTCTTTGAGCAACCTCTATGTCCAACTGTGAGTACACAGATACAAACTCACCTATGGCCATGCTACAAGCCCCTGCTACCAACCCTGCAAACCCTGATAGTATCATGGCCTTAATGTCTTGTTTGACTGCTCCAACACCCATCATTAGAGATGCTGTTGAGACCAACCCATCATTGGCTCCCAAAACAGCAGCACGTAGCCATTGAGATCTTTTTGAGTAGTCAAAGTCCTTGGTTTCAATCTCTAGAGTTGTTGCTTGTTGCTCAAGGTCATTATTTGGAAGGTCAAGTTTTGCTTGGTTAAGGGGTGTTTGATTTGATGCCATGAGAAAGAGTTAGCTACTTGAGGAAAAGATAATCGATAAAGGATGATAAAGAAGAAAGAAGAAGAAGAGGGTATGGAGAAAGTGTGGAGGACACACGCTACCAAGAAGGGTATTTATGGATGAAAGTTGCCTATGTTGGAGGCAAAAGTGGGGCAACCCCACTAATTAAAAGACAAAAGATATTATCTTCAGTAACAGTTATACAGAAATTTGTATATTGGGCCTTAAAGTATTGTAAATTTTGCCTCACTTATTAAAGAATGTATGAAAAAGAGGGGAATGATTGAAAGGAAGTTTACTCAAATTGTAACATAATAAAAGAATATATAGGACTAAGTGTCCTTTGAGAGATTATTTACTGCAACCAAACTTTGTGTTTTGCAAATTATTGAGCCTTTGCCCTTATAAAAATTTAGAAAACTTAGTCTGTGAACATGATGAAATATGAGCAAGAGAGGTTAATTGTTGTTATTATTATACTTTATATGTACATTCCTTCTCTTATACTATACTCTACTAAAATTTGGGGTATGCAATTTATTAGAGGAAAAAAACATTAACAAACTAAAACAGCATAAAACAGTACTTAGGAGTCTCACTTTTAAAGGAAATCTTGCAGATCAGCAGATATGATGTCATTTTTCAGAAATAAAAGCATCTGAAAGTTGGAAAAGAAAACAGAAACACTATTTCTATTTTGTTTAAACCAGTGACACCCACTTAATTAATGTTAACAAAGATCTTAACAACAGTATATTTAGCAGACAATTCTAATCAAGTTGCAGAAAAAAAATATTTATGAAATGTAATATCATCATTGCCTTTGTTCATAGAAAAAGATCACCTCTTTTATAAAGTTCCAAATCACATAAGAGGAGACACTTTATCAGATAAGAAGCTTCACCAACCAACAGTGTATATATATGATTGAATCACAGAAATACTTAAGTTTAGGATAAGGGTATTGATTTATTTGGAGGGAGGATAAAGAAAACAAAGTGAATTTTTGAATGGAAGCCCAAAAAATTGAAGGTTTTGATAAGCACATATGTTGTATGCTATAACAGGAATGAATAGTACAAAGAACACCGCCTCGCCATTCATTATCTATTTTATCCTGAAAAGAAGTGATCCAAATGAGAAATAAACTTCTGGCGGTTACACATTACATGAAGCTCATCATGACATGAGTCATAAATATGGCATGACTCAAACAAGGACAAAGGTGTTGATAACCCACATACGTAGTAAAGGCTTTCTTTTACATGCGAAAATAAGGAGGCAAAGTATATTATATTGAGAGATCTTGTTTCTTTTAGTTACAGCAGAGAGAATTTCGTGTTACATTTGGAAACTTTGGAAATTCATGTGATTCTGAATTTGAGCTGAATGTCATGGCAGTGTTTGTTCCTATTAGGATACGTGGGTCGGTTGATAACTCTAAATCATAAGCACATAAATTTGGGAGTGTAACATGCAAGCTATAGCCTATAGCCTATGTTTATCTTGAGTAATTTAGTTAAATGTAATTCTCCCTTTAAAATAACAAACAATAATAAAATGTAACATGGTATATAGGGGTGGTAAACAAATCAGGGGCCTTACGGGGGCCTTCGGCTCGGCTCGTAAAAGCCTGAACCTACATGTCTGAAATTGGTTATTGGAATAAGGCTTGAACTTGTATAAAAGCTCGTTTAATAAAAGGGTCTGAGTCTCCAATTCAAAAGCACGGCCTTGGAGCCTCTCAGGCCAACTTAGTATATTAATTTTTATTTTTATTTTATAATTTTATACTACTTGTAATAGCCCATTCTCTCTCCTCAATCCATTTCACCCCATTTTGTTGGTTAAACAGATTTTTTGAATAATTTTGTTCTATATTATGTTGTTTGGATATACATTGAATTTATGAATATTTATGGAATTACTAGTGCTGTTGATTGTATATTCTGTTTGGATAAATTTTTGTTGTCTTAATTTTTTTTAAACAGGCTAACAGGTCAAATCAGGCTTTTATTTTTTTGTAAATAAGACCGGCCACAGGCCGATAATTATATTCGTAACAGGTAACAGGCTAGGTCTGACTGACACATTTAAACGCAGGCTTAGTCTTTTAAGACCAAAGCTCGGCTCGGCTCAGCCCGTCAACACTCCTAATCGTATATTAGGCATTTGGTTTTGATCAGCTTAATACTATACGTTATACTCATTATTCACAATAATTATTATTATTGTTATTATTTTTGGTTGAAACTCATTAATCACATTATTCACAATTAAGAAGCACGTTTAAACAGTGTAAATGAGGCATGTGAAGTCAGACTTTAAATGTTTATATAAAATATTTTAAACCTGATTTAACTTATTTACTTGATAGAAAGTAAATTATAATTTTGACTTGACTTATTTAAAAAAAATACAAGTTTGACCTATCCTATCAAACTTACCAAACCTTCAAAAATAGCACATTACACTATGTAAATCATAAGTTACCAATTAAACCATATTCTATTTACCAAATTGTTTAAATAATTTACATAGGTTCCACCCATTTAGTAAATCATTTTTATAACCTCCAAAAAAAAAAGTAAATCATTTTTATTTAACATGTGTATATTTACTCCTTATTTATTAAAGATTGAAAATAAATTATTATTTTAGTTCTTTAAGAAAATTGGAAAAATAAAAAATTAGAAAACTTTCGGCCCTGTTTTAAGGATATTTAAAATTTTACTAATTCAGTCAAAATCAATAAAAAATTAAAATCATTTGAATTGTATTGGATTTTTGTTATAAAATAAATTTTGAAAATATATTTACACTCACGCTCAGTATGAAATAGTTTAACAAATTTTATTTCATAATATTCTATTTATTTAAATTTTTTATAATACTTAAAAAAATAAAGCTTAACTTTCTCTCTTACGTTAAATATATATATACAATTGATACTTAAGTTATACTGATATTCAAAAGTCAAATTTATATTTTAGTGTATTATAAAGTTATTTAAATTCATATTTATTACATTTTAATATTTAAATTTATATTTAATATATTTAAAAATCATATTTATATATGAAAAAATTTAGTCATTTATAACTTTGTATTGTAGTATTTTTATTTTTATTATCTTATTAAAAAATAAAGATCAAATTTGAATGCTTAAAGGCCAGACCTTTCAAAATAGGTCCGTGACCTTATTTTTAAAAAGATATTTTAATGAGCCTAAACCTCTATTTTTTTAAAATATATTAGACTATGTCAGGCCAGACCAGGTTGTTTCTTGCTTTTTCATGAGATTAAGTTTCCTCCGAAGAAGACACAATAACCAGAAGTAGAGCGTCTGTCCGAGGGTGATGACTCATTTACATCTTTAGCATGCCCATTCAATGACAGGCTATTTCAAGCAAAACATAAAGAAGTGTTACAAGGAAATAAAATAATTTTTTTAATAGATTAACCATTTATCTAATTGTTCAATATAAAAGAAAACAGTTGTATATGACTAATTACTATTTAACACCTATTTCAGTTGATTTTTTTTTTTTAATTTCTAAAAATAAATTTTATTATCAATCAAGTAACCAAACGGAAACAATGGAATATATAAAATATAGGCATATTATTACTGATCGGAACAGATCTTTACAACTGGGCCGATCATGTGATCTTCCTCTACACAACCTGGAATCGTCTTGGGTCAGAGCATCTTGCAGTTGGGCCGCTTTATCCCATGGGTCTTCAATGGAACGCAATGGGGGTGTACCTGCAAGACACTCCGACGCTCAAGTCAGTTATGGTTCAAGCAGATTTAATTATGTAGGAAAAGATAATGTACCTTAGTGTTGATACATGTATTTATTATAATGGAGATATGAGCAGCTTGGAGATGTCTTAATACTGAAGTATACTTGAAGATGAAGTATCTTGAAGTTACTTGCTGCCATGCTGCCTTTAATGTTGAGGAGCTTTGCTAGATAGGCTTTAATATTGTGGAGCCTGTTTGTCATGTAGCTATAATATTAAGGAGCTTGCTGTCATGGCTTTGGTGGAAGAGATAAGATAGCAGCATGTATTTATTATAGTGAAGCTTGCTGTCATAGAGTCTTGCAGCTTGCTTCATTGTGAAGGCTTTAGACTTGAGCCTTGTATTTGTATAATATTTATCCAGATGAATTACCAATATCGTTACTTACAAAAGGAGTAAAAACATCATAACTCCCATTAAATCCTAACAAAACTAAGGGGAGTAATTAATTGAATTCAACATATGAATTCACCTGATTAATTGGATTTACACTCATTTTCTTGACAACTTCTCCATTTCTGCGGTTAGGTGAGTCCTTGAGTTATAATTAAAGTGAGATGTAATATATACTACAAAAGTGCTTAAAAATCTATCCATTGCCAAGAGCTCTAATCCCATGCTTGTTACACCGCCTTAGGCCATTTTGAGAGTGTTAAAATACATATTCCGAAAAACTCAGAGGGAGATGCTGTCACCGAAAGATTTGAGAGGCAGTCCCCCTTAACGAAATAACTACACGAGAACCAAAGTTGACCCCCCAAAATAGGCTATTGAATTTATTTATTTAATACATAGGCTATTGAAGTATAACATGACTAAAGTGACAATATAAATCCAGGATTGAATAAAAATGGCCTTTTAAAGAACAAGTAAGTAACATGGGAAACTGGGTCAGCTTAGTTAAAGATTCTCTATTGAAAACTAATAATCAACTCAATCATATTTTGAATCACTAAGATTACTATTTACGATTAATTTAAATTCTTGTGTATTATCAAATTATATATATTGTTTGAATTTAGTTTTGATATACTTAGTTACACGATAATCCAATATTCATATATTCACAGTTTCACACTGTATTGAAAGAAATTCACTTTTCAAAATTTGTTGGCATATTTTTTTATTTAAATATAATATATTACTTGATTGAACGATAACATAAAAAGCTATTTTGCTCAAAGTGAATCAAAATTAAATCTTTATTGTCATATATATGTTCTCA